CTAAGGCTATAGGCAGGTGAGTTTTTTTTTCAGGGTTGGAGCTGAACTCTGCAGGACTGCGGCTCTCTAGGACCGAACTTGCCTACCCCTGATCTATACTGAGAGTATATTATATATAGAATATGAGAGGATAGATACATACAGATAGAAATAAACATAACTTCCTGTATAAATAGATTGAATGGATTATCGGCCTTAACTTCATCGTACTATTTTTGTTATCGGGTAGAATTTGTGGATATACTTTTCTGAAATACAGTTGGTGCATCGCTAATGTTTTTTTTATAATAACTATCTGAAATACGGATGGCATTTTGAGGCATTAGATATTACAGTCTTCTTGGTAATATTACATAAAAAGTATACAAATTCAATATCAGCCATTTATCATTTGTCATTACCATTAAAGACACCATGGTCTACACTGCAGTATATTATTCTAAATGTCATTTCGAAGCATTAAGCAACATTATTTCAATCATATGCCTGGCAAGCCAATAATAATTCCCTCTGTTACTCTTGTCTCACCTCCCCTTCTCCTTGCCTTTCTCTCCAATTTGCTCCAGACTAATTATGCTCGGGTTTATGGAGCATTTTTACCACCCCGCTCCTGTACCTCCAAAGTGGTTTGCTAAAACAGTGGTGACATGGGGCTGTGGTAATTATCTAATTGTTTGAGCCATGTCTGTCTTTGATTTATGGTGTTGCATCAGAGCCTGACCTGATTTATAATGAGGTCCCCCCACTTGTGAAAATCTGAACCTGAATTATGTGGCACAAGCCCAATTATTTCTCTATGAGGTTTTGGTAGCTGTTGACATTGATGGTTTGCATTCTCCAACAGCAGCCTGTCCAGCTTTTGCCTAACCACAATAATATGATCCATCATTTTAGAACAGACCCACCTCTCGTCTCTCGCTTACACCAGCGCAGAGCTGCAGACTCCATCGTTGCTCACCGCAAACAGCACCATATTTCTTCATCACCTCTGTGTTAAAGATGCTTGGTGCATTTCACCACCATCTCTGGCATAGGGGCGCACAGGTTCCCCCTCCTCATCAGTTCCACCTGCCAGACTGAGACCGCCCGTTTTACTAATCTGTCTTTGGGGAGAACGACAACAGGAGCGGCACCCCCGGGCCCCATAAATCCCGCCGGCTCCCGATTACCCAGTTCAGGCCACAAAGTCAAAGAACTGGGCATTAAGTGGCGCAAGTTGCTTGGCACCAAGGACAAAGCTGACAGGAAACATAAGGCCCCCACATGCGGCCCGGACGTGAAGAATAGACCCGCTGCTGAGGACGTACGCTACACGGATGTGACGGCCCCTCTCAAATTAGCACTGAGCAGGGTGACTGCCGCAACGCCGGCTGATGAAGAGTCACGCGGCTGCCACTATTTGCGCCGCTAAGGCATTCATCAAATTAATTACTGCTGCGCCCAACCACCTCTCTGATACCTCTTTATTTTGAGTCCTGTAAGTGGGGCCTCAGACGAGTCCTGACAGGGAGCCCTAATACACACACTGCCTCTTCTCCAGCAACATAATTAATTGAAAACTTCGCTGGCTTGACAAATTGGAATGATGAATCTATCTTCTATGAATAGCTTAAGGAGAGAGAGAGAGAGAATGGAGAAGAAAAAAAATGCATAATCAGTCAAAAATGTAGACGCAACATCTCTCTCGCTGACTTTGCCATGTATTGAGAGCCATTAGGGCCGAGAGGAGCCATGGCGCTGCGAAAAGACTGACTCTCCTTCCATCCACATCTCGATTGATAACTTTGGCTCTTCGATTTAATAGAGCGGTCAAGGTGGAGCTGTTCTTCTGTATGGTTCAAGAGAAATAAAGAGAGGTAAGATCATCAATCATGCACTTGTACTGTTTTTTTGTTGTTTTTTTTTTACGGTAGAATAAAAATGGGTTTCTCTAGTGTCTCTCCAATTCTAACCATGTTTATGGCTTTAGCTTGATGCGGTTTCTTCGTTAAACATGCCTTTTATTAGACAATTTTTTTTTAAATAATCATTTTAAATGAACAAACTTTTGTATAGTATCAAGTTAAACACATCATAGTCAACCCATCATACATTTATGTATGCAAATGAGGGTGACATCCACTTTAAAAGCCATCTTGAGAAACACCATTACACATCTCTTGATTAATTACATTACTGACGTCTTAACTTACAGTATAAAGGCACTGGTGTTCCCCAGAGTTACAGTACATCCCGACTTCCTATCACCTTCACTTACTGAGAGTAAAAATGGTACAAATTGATAGGTGAGGTAAAGACAAAATAAGTGAGCCATCAAGTCCATCATCAGTCCATCAAGGGTTTTCATAAAACAACAATAACAACAACAACAATAATAATAATTGTATTATTATAATAGTTATTAATTATATTATTAGTAATAATAATAATAATAATAATTATTATTATTATTATCCCATTGGCTTAAAGAACTTTTAATTATAGCGTCTCATTACAATCCCTACAGAATCAAATTTATTAAAATGTATAATTAAATGTAATTAAAACGTAAAATGTCCACATATTTCTGTTATTAAAAGAACACAGCATTGATTTAAATTATTTATTATTACAATTTATGAATTATGTTTATAAAGTGGAAGAAATGACATTGTCTGATTTGTTTTATGCACTATATTGTAAGCAATTATATACATATTTGAAATTAATGTTGTTATCTGATTTCTTACAACACCGGGCCTTCGTTTCTTTACTTACGGACATGACGTAAACACACAAGTCTTTGATTTACAGAAGCTAACTGCTCAAAATATAAATTATTTTTGTAGGTTTACTAGAGTGAATCTGGGTGACGCAAGAAGTTTTGAATACTAATTTTCTATGTACTTGCTCAATAATGGAATTTTGTAAAAAAACTAAAAAAAAAACTAAAAAAAAACTCACAAATGATAAATTCCTCAATAATGTCTTAATAATAGCTAAATGTTAGTTTTGTAACATACAGTATCACATTTATAGATTTAATGACTGTCACAGAGAGTCTTGTGAGAATATTCAGACGGATTTAGAGGATGCGTGGCAAAAGTGGACAGCCTATAAAGGATGAGCAGTTGGATGGAGGTGAATTATTAAAGTAGCACGGAGGCACTTAAACTCCTGTGTGTAGGAAAGTCACAATCTCCAAACAACTCCATAGCACTGGGTTTATATGAAAGGGATGTTGAACCCCTTTCATGCTTGTTTAGTACAATATTTGGTCTAATCTGATAATGTTTTCAGCCACCAGAAATAATGTACTTCATTTCAGTTGTTTAAAGAAAGTTTATTGGTTTATCAGAGTGCTGTTAAGTCAGCTAAAAATACATATTTTTCTAATCTAATCATGGAAAATCACTCTAGACCTAAAGTTTTATTTTCAGTCATTAATTCTGTTGTGAACCCCCCGGTTACAATGTGTACTGCTTCTGAGGCTCTGTGTGAAAGCTTTTTGAGATTTTTTATTGATAAAATCTCCAATTTGAGACATTACATATGCCCTTCTCATACTGAACCCTCTATCCCGTCAATGCACTTTGCTTCCTGGGATGTTTTTGAACCTATTTCTCTGCAACTACTTAAAAACACCATTGTTAACGTCAAATCATCTTTTTGTTCTTTTGATACCATACACCCTAAATTTTTAAAATCAATTGTTGATTGTGTTGGGCCGGGTCTGGTGTCTCTTTTTAATAAGTGTCTTTGTACTGGCTTTGTCCCTGCTGCCTTTAAAGTGGCTACTGTCACTCCTATACTCAAGAAGCCTTCACTGGATTCTTCTGTTTTGAATAACTTTCGCCCTATTTCTGTTTTACCATTTATCTCGAAGGTATTTGAAAAAATTGTGTTTGATCAACTCCAGTCTTTTCTCAGTTGCAACGGTATTCCTGAAATTTTTCAATCTGGCTTTAAATCTGCACATAGCACCGACTCTGCCCTCTTGAGAGTGCTAAACGACATCTTTTTATCTACGGACTCTGGCGACTCTGTGGTCCTCGTGCTATGTGGCTGTTTTATACGTGCTATATAAATAAACTGAAACTTCAAACTTGAAACTACTGTAGTTTACAGTTTACTTGTTATCCCCAAATCATGTAATTTTATCCCAAAGTCACAGAAAAAAGCTTAGTTCTAAACTATATGAAAATAAATACAACAATAGTTCGCTATAGATCTATCATGTGCAAGCTATGCATTTAAGTACATGTGCACTGTGTGTTTGGTATTTGCTTTTGAGGTATTCCTCACGGGCGTATGTATGTGTTTGTGACCAATCATATATGTCTATGCAGGAAAATATGAGAAGGTTGCAGATGTGAAGGACACACCTTTTCCATGGTAAATAGTCATCCTTAATAGGTAGAGGCCTGTTTGTGAAATATGAGAGCCAAACTGGTATGTGACATTACTGTCATCCCCAGGGAGGCCGGCAGACTGATTTCAGTGCAGAGAGAACCTAGACAGGACTACAGAACTAAATAAAGTCTCAGATGGATGGAGCTGAACTCCCACTAGGAAACCTGCAAGACAATGAGATTCCCTGTGCCTTCTGAGAAATGTTTACATGCTCTTCAAGCACATACACATATATGAAATATATACAACATTACCCTTTCATGACTGTGCAGTATTAGGGATATAAATAAAGTGATTGAAATAACTATGTTCTGAAGACTTGCTATTCATTTGCAATATTATTTGAAGATGCTTCATTGTATTAGATCTAATGTATTTATCTACTATAATTGAATACATCAATGTAAAATGCAAAAAAAAAAAAAGTTCTAAAATGTTGTTTAGAGTATGACTATCTTTATTCTCTTGGCATTTTAGCAAGATACAATAGCATTACATGTATTGTATATTCCATTCTAATACCATTAGAATAGATTTTAATATGAGGATGATTAGAGAAGATTTTTAATGTGGCACTGTATAGTTTAGTTCTTTCCAGGCCATATTTTCATGGACTAAATCTCCTGGTCATTTGTGTGTCATATTACTAGTTCTGGAACCAAGTGAAATCCTTTTTTATGATTTTTTTTTTTTTTGCCCAAAGCAATCACTGCATTGCTCTTGCATTAACTGGAAAATATTTATTCCTCATAATATCAATGCTAAAGCACTCCAGGAGATAGGAAAAATAATAAATTGGAGGGAAATCTTGTTAACAGGGATGAGTTGGATTTCACGTGAACAGGAATAGATGTTTTCTGAGAAGATGTTTGATGAGTTTTGTCCACTTCTTTTATTTCATTTAATTTTATTTTTGATGACAATTTTCAATTTTTTTAACAATTTTTTTTTTAACCTTACCATGTTTATATAAAAAGACATACAAGAAGATATACAAAAAGTGAAAAATAGCAATAAACATGGCCAAAAAAATAATATGAAATATTACATTATTATTATTATTATTAATAAGAAAATAATTAAAATTATTAAACTAAATTAATTATGCATCTGCACTCCCCTGGGCAGCTTTGGAGCTCATTTACTCCATTTTACTGGCTGTTCCTCTCAGGTCTACTGTTAGGCTGCTTTCTCTTAGACTCATTGTCTCATTAGAAATCTTTTGAATTTCAGATGAAGCAATGATCCAAAAGCTCTGGAAAACAGAGCAGATGAAACATAGGTTCACCCACCTGCCTTTTCATTAAAATGTGGGCGACTGTCATCTCCGAGAGCATTGCTTAGCCTTAATCTGCCTGCTTGAGCAAGAGCACTATACATTTTCACACACCTAACTATATAATATTCCATGTAAATTTAAGCATCTGAGGCCCTGTAGCTTAGAGCGCTGAAGAACAGGGGGTTGCTGGGTTCATAAATGAATAAGAATCTCCAAATGAGTTTGCTGACCTCTTAAACTCCATAAAATTAATATAAGCAGACATCCTGAATGCTGCAGGGCTGCTGCGGAGCCAGCGGAAGATCACTTAAGCTCTCAGAGTTTCCTAAAACTTTTATAAGCCTACTTTTCAAGACACATTGTTGCGTTTTACTGATGGTGGCAGGGAGCAATATGAAGGCATATAAACCTTCAGTGACTTCACTTAACCCCTCATATAAGAACAGGGGAAATTCAGGCATTACAGCATGTGGCGTCACCTGCTTTCCGACTGCTGGAAACACAACTCTTCGACCCTGCGTCCTTGATTCCAGCACCCCACTTGCTTCCTCTAAACCCGTGAAAACAAACACAGCTTTGGTGGAAGTGGTGGAACAAACAAAACAAAAGTGGAGGTGTTTTGGAGACCTGGTGTTTGCCGGTTGACAGTCAGCTCATTTTCTTATCTGTCACAGACCCGGGGCTTCCAGCAGTTATCAGCATTGTAATGCTGAAACATAATGTTTACTGAGTCTTTAGTCCACGCAGCTGGGATGCTTTTTGCTAAACCAGTGTATGGTGCCAACAGGCTTTTCATATCACACTTGAGAGTGGACAAAACAAATTATACAAATGTAAATAAAAGGAGATTAAAGCCTGAGTGTAATGAAGCACTCCAACAACATGCCTTTCATTTACATGCAAAGTGCATCTTTAAAAACTGTCGGCATGCTCTTCAGTAGGTTAGGCGGACAAGCTTTTTAATTGTTTTGTATATAAACGTGTTCAGTGAGCATCTTAAAGGGCTAGTTCACCCAAAAAATGAAAATCTGTCATTAATGACCCAACCTCATGTCGTTCCAAACCCGTAAGACCTTCGTTCATCTTCGGAACACAAATTAAGATATTTTTGATGAAATCCGAGAGCTTTCTGACCCTGCATAAACATCAACACAACTACCACGCTCAAGGCCCAAAAAAAGTAGTAAGGACATTATTAAATTAGTCCATGTGATATCAGTGGTTCAACATTACTTTTATGAAGCTACAAGAATACTTTTTTGTGCGCAAAGAAAACAAAAATAGCTTTATTCAACAATTTCTTCTCTTCTGTGTCAGTCTTCGACGCACGTTCATGAGCGTACCGCGATGCATACATGTGGTGCTGCTGATGCAGGAATTGGCATTCTGACGTAGAACCCGGATGCGCTGCGCCTTGTTTACAAGCAGAGGAAGACGCATGCTGTCGCATGTCTTTGTAAACACGTTTGAAGATTTTGACAGAGAGGATAACTTGCAATTTTTTGCCCAGCCTTACTTATTCGAACCAGAATATATAGACGATGAAATAAGAGAAATGAACGTTCTACGTCAGACCGCCAACACTTCCTGTTTTGAATCAATATCTCTTGTCCCCATAATAATTTATGTGGTGAAATGTGTAATAAGTTCCCTTAAATGTTCGTTTAGTGTGAACTTGTTCATTTATCTAGGCTAAAAGCTGCTTGCTAGCAGCTGTTTTCTTTGCTTAAGCTTGGTATTTAGTGAGCCAATAAAATAAAATAAAATTTCAGCTCAGATCAATAATTTGTTTCCAGTTATTACTTATATGTGAATTAGTCATTCTGCATTCCTTTAATTCAGCGAAGAGATCACGCTATCTATTATAACGTCTAAACGTGATGGTAGTCAATAGGTGTGTTTGACTTCATGGGCCACTGTATATAGACTGATCGGCGTCTGACTTGAAGCAGTGCATGCCGGTAATACTAATCAAAAATTAAGTTTTGATATATTTATGGCAGGGAATTTACTAAATATCCTCATGGAACATGATCTTTACTTAATATCCAAATGAATTTTGGCATATAAGAAAAATTTATCATTTTGACCCATACAATGTATTTTTGGCTATTGCTACAAATTTACCCGTGCTACTTATGACTGGTTTTGTGTTCCAGGGTCACATTTATATATTGTATTTTTATTGACAATTTATATTTACATTTGTGTGTTTGTATGTGTAAATATATATTTCCTCTGATAATTCTCAGGCAACCAGCTTAGATCTGGGTAGTTTATCAGTGTTTAGATCTTCACGTGTACGGAACCTGGGAGTTTTGTTAGATGAGTCCTTAAACCTTGATAAACATATCTCCTCTGTAATAGGTTCTAGTTTTTATCAACTTCGCCTGTTATCAAAAATCAAACCTTTCTTAAATCATAAATCTTTAGAGATGGCTGTTCATGCTTTTATCACCTCACGCTTAGACTACTGCAACTCACTATACTGTGGTAGTTCTAAGTCATCAATCGATCGCCTTCAACTAGTTCAAAATGCTGCTGCCAGATTCCTTCATAATAGCCGCAAAAGTGCTCACATCACTCCAATTCTGCGGACCCTTCATTGGCTGCCTATTAAATTCAGAATTGATTTTAAAATTATTTTATTTGTATATAAATCTTTAAATGATCTAGCCCCTATTTATTTATCTGAATTACTATACCCATATACTCCATCCAGACGCTTAAGATCCAGTGATCAGAATCTTCTTCTAGTCCCACAATCCAGACTCAAACGTAGAGGGGATCGTGCTTTTTCAGTGGTTGGGCCGCGGCTGTGGAATAGCCTCCCTTTAGAGATTAGACTTGCCCCTTCTCTGTCCACTTTTAAATCTCTTTTAAAAACATATCTGTTTTGTTTGGCTTACAAATAATTTTCTATTATGGTCTTTGCTTAGTCTTTTATGGGTTTATACTTCGTTTCTCTTGTGTTATTAATATATTTACTTATTTTATTATTAAGGCGAGACCCTGTTTAATTGTGTAGCTGTGCAGATTTTTATATTCTTTTTACTATTTTGAATTTCTGTACAGCACTTTGGTCAGCCATGTGGCTGTTTTATACGTGCTATATAAATAAACTGAAACTTCAAACTTGAAACTACTGTAGTTTACAGTTTACTTGTTATCCCCAAATCATGTAATTTTATCCCAAAGTCACAGAAAAAAGCTTAGTTCTAAACTATATGAAAATAAATACAACAATAGTTCGCTATAGATCTATCATGTGCAAGCTATGCATTTAAGTACATGTGCACTGTGTGTTTGGTATTTGCTTTTGAGGTATTCCTCACGGGCGTATGTATGTGTTTGTGACCAATCATATATGTCTATGCAGGAAAATACGAGAAGGTTGCAGATGTGAAGGACACACCTTTTCCATGGTAAGTAGTCATCCTTAATAGGTAGAGGCCTGTTTGTGAAATATGAGAGCCAAACTGGTATGTGACATTACTGTCATCCCCAGGGAGGCCGGCAGACTGATTTCAGTGCAGAGAGAACCTAGACAGGACTACAGAGCTAAATAAAGTCTCAGATGGATGGAGCTGAACTCCCACTAGGAAACCTGCAAGACAATGAGATTCCCTGTGCCTTCTGAGAAATGTTTACATGCTCTTCAAGCACATACACATATATGAAATATATACAACATTACCCTTTCATGACTGTGCAGTATTAGGGATATAAATAAAGTGATTGAAATAACTATGTTCTGAAGACTTGCTATTCATTTGCAATATTATTTGAAGATGCTTCATTGTATTAGATCTAATGTATTTATCTACTATAATTGAATACATCAATGTAAAATGCAAAAAAAAAAAAAGTTCTAAAATGTTGTTTAGAGTATGACTATCTTTATTCTCTTGGCATTTTAGCAAGATACAATAGCATTACATGTATTGTATATTCCATTCTAATACCATTAGAATAGATTTTAATATGAGGATGATTAGAGAAGATTTTTAATGTGGCACTGTATAGTTTAGTTCTTTCCAGGCCATATTTTCATGGACTAAATCTCCTGGTCATTTGTGTGTCATATTACTAGTTCTGGAACCAAGTGAAATCCTTTTTTATGATTTTTTTTTTTTTTGCCCAAAGCAATCACTGCATTGCTCTTGCATTAACTGGAAAATATTTATTCCTCATAATATCAATGCTAAAGCACTCCAGGAGATAGGAAAAATAATAAATTGGAGGGAAATCTTGTTAACAGGGATGAGTTGGATTTCACGTGAACAGGAATAGATGTTTTCTGAGAAGATGTTTGATGAGTTTTGTCCACTTCTTTTATTTCATTTAATTTTATTTTTGATGACAATTTTCAATTTTTTTAACAATTTTTTTTTTAACCTTACCATGTTTATATAAAAAGACATACAAGAAGATATACAAAAAGTGAAAAATAGCAATAAACATGGCCAAAAAAATAATATGAAATATTACATTATTATTATTATTATTAATAAGAAAATAATTAAAATTATTAAACTAAATTAATTATGCATCTGCACTCCCCTGGGCAGCTTTGGAGCTCATTTACTCCATTTTACTGGCTGTTCCTCTCAGGTCTACTGTTAGGCTGCTTTCTCTTAGACTCATTGTCTCATTAGAAATCTTTTGAATTTCAGATGAAGCAATGATCCAAAAGCTCTGGAAAACAGAGCAGATGAAACATAGGTTCACCCACCTGCCTTTTCATTAAAATGTGGGCGACTGTCATCTCCGAGAGCATTGCTTAGCCTTAATCTGCCTGCTTGAGCAAGAGCACTATACATTTTCACACACCTAACTATATAATATTCCATGTAAATTTAAGCATCTGAGGCCCTGTAGCTTAGAGCGCTGAAGAACAGGGGGTTGCTGGGTTCATAAATGAATAAGAATCTCCAAATGAGTTTGCTGACCTCTTAAACTCCATAAAATTAATATAAGCAGACATCCTGAATGCTGCAGGGCTGCTGCGGAGCCAGCGGAAGATCACTTAAGCTCTCAGAGTTTCCTAAAACTTTTATAAGCCTACTTTTCAAGACACATTGTTGCGTTTTACTGATGGTGGCAGGGAGCAATATGAAGGCATATAAACCTTCAGTGACTTCACTTAACCCCTCATATAAGAACAGGGGAAATTCAGGCATTACAGCATGTGGCGTCACCTGCTTTCCGACTGCTGGAAACACAACTCTTCGACCCTGCGTCCTTGATTCCAGCACCCCACTTGCTTCCTCTAAACCCGTGAAAACAAACACAGCTTTGGTGGAAGTGGTGGAACAAACAAAACAAAAGTGGAGGTGTTTTGGAGACCTGGTGTTTGCCGGTTGACAGTCAGCTCATTTTCTTATCTGTCACAGACCCGGGGCTTCCAGCAGTTATCAGCATTGTAATGCTGAAACATAATGTTTACTGAGTCTTTAGTCCACGCAGCTGGGATGCTTTTTGCTAAACCAGTGTATGGTGCCAACAGGCTTTTCATATCACACTTGAGAGTGGACAAAACAAATTATACAAATGTAAATAAAAGGAGATTAAAGCCTGAGTGTAATGAAGCACTCCAACAACATGCCTTTCATTTACATGCAAAGTGCATCTTTAAAAACTGTCGGCATGCTCTTCAGTAGGTTAGGCGGACAAGCTTTTTAATTGTTTTGTATATAAACGTGTTCAGTGAGCATCTTAAAGGGCTAGTTCACCCAAAAAATGAAAATCTGTCATTAATGACCCAACCTCATGTCGTTCCAAACCCGTAAGACCTTCGTTCATCTTCGGAACACAAATTAAGATATTTTTGATGAAATCCGAGAGCTTTCTGACCCTGCATAAACATCAACACAACTACCACGCTCAAGGCCCAAAAAAAGTAGTAAGGACATTATTAAATTAGTCCATGTGATATCAGTGGTTCAACATTACTTTTATGAAGCTACAAGAATACTTTTTTGTGCGCAAAGAAAACAAAAATAGCTTTATTCAACAATTTCTTCTCTTCTGTGTCAGTCTTCGACGCACGTTCATGAGCGTACCGCGATGCATACATGTGGTGCTGCTGATGCAGGAATTGGCATTCTGACGTAGAACCCGGATGCGCTGCGCCTTGTTTACAAGCAGAGGAAGACGCATGCTGTCGCATGTCTTTGTAAACACGTTTGAAGATTTTGACAGAGAGGATAACTTGCAATTTTTTGCCCAGCCTTACTTATTCGAACCAGAATATATAGACGATGAAATAAGAGAAATGAACGTTCTACGTCAGACCGCCAACACTTCCTGTTTTGAATCAATATCTCTTGTCCCCATAATAATTTATGTGGTGAAATGTGTAATAAGTTCCCTTAAATGTTCGTTTAGTGTGAACTTGTTCATTTATCTAGGCTAAAAGCTGCTTGCTAGCAGCTGTTTTCTTTGCTTAAGCTTGGTATTTAGTGAGCCAATAAAATAAAATAAAATTTCAGCTCAGATCAATAATTTGTTTCCAGTTATTACTTATATGTGAATTAGTCATTCTGCATTCCTTTAATTCAGCGAAGAGATCACGCTATCTATTATAACGTCTAAACGTGATGGTAGTCAATAGGTGTGTTTGACTTCATGGGCCACTGTATATAGACTGATCGGCGTCTGACTTGAAGCAGTGCATGCCGGTAATATATTTTGTTTATAAATATGTATTTCTATAACAGTAATAACTCTTTTTATGTAAACCTAATGTTACATTGCGCCATATGTTTATCAAAATAAAACTGACCCCACTTTATTTACATTTAAATAGCATATGCTGACCCTTATTCCTGCACATACATGTTGAATGAAAGTACTGAATGAAAATATGAAAGAAATTAAGAAAATCCTATATAAAAATACCACTGCATAGCATCTTGCTCTTCTTTCAACATCTTGCACATGTGCGCTGTATTTCAGATGCTGTTTTAAGTTCAAAGAAGTACTGATGCACAGGGTATTCACTTCTTTTCACTGAATGGGATATCTGTTTACTTCCCTTGACTGAATGCGAGAAACTGCTTAAAACTGCCCTGGTGGCAACAGCAGCTAGAGCTAGATTAATCTTAATCAGTGAATAAAGAGGTCTGTTTTAAATCTATGGACTACTGGTCTTGTTGTAGGGTGTGAAATTAATATAAAGATATGAGGAACAGGAAATTGCATGATAAAGAACATATGGTAGCAACAGGTTGCAAAGGTCAGCACAGGAGGTTATTCGTTAGAGCGTGCTGAGTCACCGGTTAAGAAGGTTTCCTTTACAGACTGGAGAAATAAAACCGTGTAGTCTAAAATAAAGCCATTTATTAATATGGCCTGTTTTGAGGACACAAGAACTTGTATGAATGATTCTTCTTGCCAAACCTGTAATATAATTTACACACAAAACATGTTTAGTTTAATGGAAATTGTTTGATAGTTTTTATCATCTAAAATTCAACCATTCAAAACCGTTTCCAGTGTTTCCATTTACAAGAATTCAGCACAACTCCATATAGCTATAGGAGAAACATACAAATATATGTTTTCAGATGAGCATTGCATTATCAGATGTACATTCTGTAATATACATTTTTAATCCAAAGGCAAATGATTATGAACCCAATTACCAAATGAAGAGCAACAGATGGCAGACTTGACTTATTGAAAGCGACATTATGGCTGGGGTTCATATTTCCAAAAAATTAGATCTTTGCCACAATATATATAGACTCAGCCATCGTCCAATATTAAAGTCTTGTTTCAGATTGCAATTATTAGAACTAAAACAAACCCCTCTGGATGAAGACATAAATATCGAACAGCTAAAAACAGTCCATATCAAACCCTGCCTCTGTTCATAGGAGTGAAAATGTTGCAGTGTTTTGTGACTTTCAGATCAATTGCTCTGTATCAGATGGACAAGGCATGAAATTAATGCTCTAATAACTTACTTCTGCCATATTCATAAATGATTTTAGTTTTTTACAAAAGTGCACATTGTTTAAAAACGTCTCGGTTACGTATGGTAACCCTCGTTCCCTGAAGGAGGGGACGGAGACGTC